CTGTAGATCATTATATTAAAAATGTTTAAATTAATTTAGATTTAAATACAATAACTATTATATAATAAATAAATATTAAAATATTAAAAAAATATAATATTATCATGTGATCATGAATAAGATATATACCCATAAAAATTCTTAAAAAATAAAATTATATCAAAATTTACTATATTAAAACCTTAATAAAAAAATTAATAAAACTATAAGTTTAAACATTTTTGTCAAATTTAAAAGTTTAAACAAAGTAATTTTATTAAATATAATTTTTTTGAAATAAATAATACTAATTATATAAAAATTTGCTTATTATATTTTTCACTTTATTTAATTATTATTATTATTATATTATATATAAATTTTTATTTTAAATTAAAAAAGTAATTTTTTTTTCTTGATTTATTTATTGATTACATAATAAATGTAATGTGTATAATGCAAATAAAATAATATGTAAATTGTATATCTAAATCCAACCTTTTTAAGAAATTTATTACTAATATTTTTTTATTGTAACTATTAACATTTAGATTTTTTTTAAAAATAACTTAATTATTATTAAATCTAATCACGTCATTTTAATTAAACAAAGTCTTTTGAATTGTGCGTATTGTAATAAATATTTATTTGACTTACCTGAATTTCGTCTAAATATTATCCCATACTATTATCATGATTCATCATACTTGGTAAACCTAATGTATTTCCTGCAATGGTATTACTTCCATAACTATTACTACCAATAGCATTAATTCCAATATTGTTATTTCCTAGACTATTGGATAAACTATTCCCACCACTTAATACAGTGCTAGACAATGAATTTCCAGTCATTGAACCATTTCCCATTCCATTTCCACCGGTACTTGGGTATCGCATCATGCTAAAAGTATTTGCGGGACCAAATCCAGTACCACTTATTCCTGCACCAGTACCTCCGAATCCAGCAAATCCAACATTTTGTAACTGTTGAAGCTGCTGCTGTTGTTGAGCTGTTGGCATTCCGTATTGATCTCCCAGTCCAGCAATAGAAGGTAGTATTCCTGATCCCTGTGCATTACCATTACCTCCGTTCCCGACACCCGTATTTCCAATTGATATGTTTCCCAAAGGTGGTAACGACACCGGATATGATTGTTCTGGATTTGTTGCATTCATCATCGAATAATCAGAAATATTACTTGTTGCCACCATGTTCTGATGTTGAGAATTGGTGTGTTGTTGTTGTTGATATGCTGTAGCGATAGTCACAGTTGGTATCATTGAATTTGTGAACCGATTTGAAGATTGTAGAGAATTCTGCTGTTGCTGTTGATGCAATTGTTGTGATGTTTGTTGTTGGAGTAGCTGTGTCTGAGTTTGTTGAGGTTGCGAAGATGATTTTTGCTGTTGCTGATGAGTTTGTTGCGGAGTATGTGGTTGTTGAGGCGGTGGTATTAGCTGCTGTTGCTGTTGCTGATGTTGATGTTGATGATGATGTTGTTGTTGTTGTTGTTGCTGCTGTTGTTGTTGTTGCTGCTGCTGCTGCTGTTGTTGTTGTTGTTGATGTTGTTGTTGATGTTGTTGTTGCTGCTGCTGCTGTTGTTGTTGTTGTTGCTGTTGTTGTTGTTGTTGCTGCTGTTGTTGTTGTTGCTGTTGCTTTTGGTATAATTGATATTGTGGAGAATTCATCATGACTCCAATAATGCTATTTGGAGATGAGCTCACTTTGAGTTGGCGTGGAGATGGCGAACTTGGATCCAACATTTGACTAGACGATAACGTACTAGAAATATTGTTAATGTTAGAAACATTGTTGTTAACGGTGGAAGAATTTGCAGGTATTGCTCTATGATATTTTTTATTTTGAGCGAAAACCTGAACAGCTCGCTGAAGAAGGGTATTTATCTTTTGTCCATAGCTACTACGAGGTATTGGTAAAGTGGATAAATCAGGGATCACCTTTTGCTTTATTTCCTATAAAACCACCAAATCATATTAAGTTATAAACCTTAAATAACTAGATCATATACTTTATGTTAATTACATTACGAGGGTTTCCATTATACTCATCTGCAACAGTTGCTAAGTATGATAAATTGCCTTGAAGACGTGATTTGTACCTTTTTTTTAGAAGTCTTAAATTAATTATATTTTAATAAAAAAATTATATAATAAAAATGTCCAAATGGTTACATACAATGCAAGATCTTGGTCATTAACCGATCCATTACTTTGATAATCAATACATACACGAATCAATTCGTAATTTATCTCAAGTATCTGAAATCAAAAATCGTTAGAAACAAAATAATTATGATTTCTTAGAATGTTAATGAATCAGTTAATCTTACCACTTGCACACATTTTTGGGTATAGTCGACTAATATGGCGAATTTAGAGATTTTGAGGAAAAATAAAACAAAAATAATATTAAAAAAAAAAAAGAAAGGTAATAATGGTAAAAAACTTTGAAATTGTAAAATTTATAATCACCATATTCCGGAGATCTATTGTTATTTGATCCAATCATGATTCCTCCAATTGTTGTAACAGGCGTGTCTGCATTCGTAATTGCGCTACTTTCCTGCTTAACGGTATTCGGTTTCCTGACGTTTGAACCGACAACCGGTGCTTGTACAAAGTTATTATTTGTTTCAGAGTTTGATGCATGATAAAGAGGTTTGGATGGAGTTGTGACAACGTTAGAAGCATTCAAAGTCGTCGGTGGTGCGATTGTAGCTCCTGAAATCATTGTGTGATTGAGAGCAAGTTGCTGATCGGAACCCATCCAGGGGAGAGTAGAGTGGTGTTGTTGCGTTTCATAACTAATATTCATTTGCTGTGAAACAGCTTCCGTGAAGGGACTATTTCCATTCGTTTGAAGGTACTGAGAAGTATATTCACCATTCATGTTTTTTTTGATAATTTATTTTTGATAATATTTTTTTTTAAAAAAAAAAACTTGGTTTATATATTTAGATATTATCCAATCATTATTAGTCTCGTACTACAATCGTACGTTCAACAAACGTAACAAAACAATAACATTCAAAATATTTCCCTTTCTTTTAAAAAAAAAAAGAAAATGTACCAAGATCTTTCGAACGAGGAACTTTTTGGTTTTAGTGACCATTCAGATACCGATAATAAGGTAGAAGAATTAAGCAACGATTTATCTTCTAATGAAATGTCCGAACCACAAAGTTCAGAATACGAAGTTTCACCCTCGAGTCCATTAACAGAAAATGAACCAATTATCATTTCTCCAAAACCCAAATTAATAACCATTCCTTCAATCATAGGATTAATCCTTTATGAAAACCTTTTAACTCACGAGCAACAAAATGAGTTAATTAGTGGTATTATAGAAGCTAATTATTTCAACAACCCAGAATCAAATCAAGCAATGTGTTTTGGTACACTGCCATCATTCATTCTTCGGGCCGTTGAAGTAATTTCTAATACACCTGGACTTTTTCCTGACGAAATTCAGCATAGGGATCCTTTATTTGATCAGGCGCGTGTTAAATTAATTTTCAATTATTAAGGAAATTGTTTGAATAATTCATGCCAAAATTTTAATTAACTTTACTTATTGTAAAATACAGTCGATTATCAACTTATACAGACCTGGGGAAGGTATTACAGGTCATGTGGATTTACCTAGGTAAAAAAATCATTTATCGTCATTATTAAATAATATACATGGATTATTAATTCTTTATGTATAGATTTGAAGATGGGATTGTAGTAATATCATTATTATCATCTTGTGTCATGCGATTCAGGCCTTTATCTGAAGGTGAAATGGACAACACTAGTTATGAGAGCAAGTTGAAGGATGTTCATGGTGTTTATGAGATGATACCAGTTATTCTTAGACCAGGATCTGTTCTTTCTCTGAATGGACCGGCTAGATATAATTGGACTCATGAAATTGAGGAGACTGAAATTGATGAGATTGGAGATGAAAAAATTATTCGTAGCCCTAGAATATCCGTGACTTTAAGAAAAATGAAAAATGATCAATTATTTTCAAATAAAGAAGATTCAAATCCTTTTTCTTTCGAGATTAAAAAACGTTGAACATTAAAGTTTTACATGTACTTAAAATTATTTGTATAAATATCAATGATTTTATATTAAAACTTTGGTAATTATTTATTCTAAAAGCAAAATTTCTAAATTGAAAATTATTTGTATCAATTTAAAGCATGAAAAATAATTTCTAATTTACAAGATGTATTAGAAAGTTGTCGATACAAAAAAAAATAGCAAAAATAAAATAACTAAGATTGATCTTTCCAGTTAATTTCAATCGACTAGCATATTTACTCGGGTATTTTATAAGGGTATAAGTTTTAATTCGTTTTTTTGAGCTTTCAATTTCTTAATTTAAAGAAATTTAATTTTTATGTAGATGATGCTAATTTTAAAGTTAGTGTAAAATTTTTTTAAAAAAAAAAGAAAAAATTTCTCTTTATTAAAGATAGGGTAAACCTACCAAAGATTATATCTTTATGACAAATCTTCAACAATAGAGGCACCTTTCACACGTCCAAATGCTTTAATCATTTCAATTATATTTGAAATAGTTGGATCCATATTTGGAACAACAACAATGGTTTCCAACGTCACTATAAACGTCGATATCTGTGGTTGATACTGAATATAATAAATTAAATATTTAGTATACTAATTTAAAAACAACAAGAATTATAGAGAGATAACTAACTTACAGTTCGTCCAATTTCTTTGAAAAATCCATACGCCCACCAGAACCAGAGCTTAGACATGGGATCTTGAACTCCTTGTTCTTTATATTCTTTCAATTTATTATTAAGCATCTCAACAAATAAATTAACCAAGGTCAACAAAACTTCTTTTTGTTCCCTAGTAACGTTATTCAGCGTATTTTCAATATTTCGCAATTCGTCAGCGTTAACCTTTTTATCCACTACAAAACAAAAAAATTTAATAAAGTAATAAAAGTAATAATCAAAAAAAAAACGCCATTATAAATGATATAAATAATTACAATCACTCGTGATATCAATGATGCCAGAATCTGCTGGTGGATTCATCAAACTTTCAAGTTTGTATTGAACTTGCTTGACTCGTGATATAACTTTATTTATAGTATTCTTCATAATTTCCCACATATACGACCTAGGAATATTATTAGTTTAAAAAAAAAGAATTACATTTCAGATTCATTTATCTTATTTTCACTCACTTGGAAACTTCTTTTTCCATCTCGTCCGTAAATAACCAAGTTATTATAGAACTGGCGTCAATGACTCGGTAATTTAATAATTTATCAAGAAGAATACCCAAAAACTTTTTAAAAACAAAATTGAGTTATTACGATTAGATAACTTTTAACATATACATTCAACTGAATAATACCTGAGTGTTGTTCTTCCAAAATTCCGCAACAATTTTAACTGTATGTACTTTATTTTCTGCCGTCTCATTTAAGGATTGAAGAATTGATAAATATCTATTTCAATTTAATATATAATTGAATTATATTGAATTTTTTTAATTCTCAATTCAAAAATATTGAATAATTTACCTCTCAATAACATTAAGCACGTGACTGAAGCTCTTACATCCTTGCATAAGCACGCATTGAATAAATATATCACGCATAGTTTGCTCTTTATCCTCTGCAGACAATTCCGGTGATAACATCTCTTTAAAATATGTTTGTACGTCTTCAGTAGAAGCCCTCTTACGAATTTTCCCTAATAAAGTCTCGGCCAAACTATGTAAAGGATGGGCTATAAAACAAGAATTTTGTTTAAAAATTTTTTTTTTTTTTGGGAAAAAAAGGTATATTTGAAACTTTTTAATACCTGAGTCTTCATATTTAAAATTAGTGGATGGTTCTATTGGAAAGATCGCTGAAAATTCATCTGGAATAGTAGATTTAATCCTTTCATAATAACTATAGCGTACCATCTTTTGGAACGTTTCTCGTAAGAAACATACTTTTGGGTGTAATGGATCTAATTTTAAAGCATTCTCCCTGAACAAAATAAAATAAGCTTTTTAAATTCATATAAAATATTATTAATAAAAATAACATTATTATAGACTTACCAATCTTTCCAATTCCATATAAAACTGAAATTACTAAGATGATGACTAAACCAATTCCAGAATCGATAACAGCATTCTACATCCATGATATCAACACGATCGAATAAAATTCCTATGGCCTTACCAAGGTAAAAGAATCGCCATTCAAAAAAAAAAAAAATAGTTTAAAGTCAAGGAATTATAATATAAAAATAATTTAAACTATATGGAATCCATTTGTTAACAAAGGATATCACAGGCGGGAACGTTTCGTGCATGCTCTTGCAAATCTCGGTTAAAAGTGAATGATAATAAATGAATTTATGTTTTGGATGTGGCAATTGAAAGATATTCTTGAATATAGACTTTATAAATAATGTTTAAAAAAACAATCAGTATCGTTTAATTAGATTGAAGTGATTATATGTTGAAAACATGAACTTACCTCAACGATCATCTGTTCGAGATGATAATTTGCAAGATTTGGATCTAAACTAGCTGTATCTATTGATTTATCATTATTTTCATTATTATCATCATCATTATTATTATTATTATCATCATTATTATTATCATTATTATCATTATTCCAATTATTGGAAAATGATTCTTCTTCAGCTTCACTTTTTATTTCTAGTTCCACTTTAATATCAGTTTTCACTGCCGCAATAGTTGTATCTTTACCAACAAAAGTTTCTGGTACAAAACAATACGGAAGATCCTTGAGATATTTTACACACTCTTTACGATTTACTTCCATAACATCAATAATATCTTCGATAACATCATTAATTACAAGGTATGTTATGTCGGTTACATCAGGCTGTTTCATTGTAGGCTTTGTTTAAATAAATTTTTTAAAAATTTATAATTGTTTATTATTAATTAACTTGATTTAAAATAAATAAACCAACCTCATCATCAAAACCAACGAAAATTCGGAACATGGTAGTTGGTAGAGAATTATTCATTCCATCAAATTGTTCTGGTACTACAAATTTATCAACTTCATGCTATTTTAAAATATGATGTTAATTATTGACCTTTATATTGCATGAATAGTTTTGAAGATAAAAATATGACGCACTTGATCTGCAGTTATGAGTACACTGTCATAATCCGACCAAGGTTTCAAAAGGCATGGACACTAAATATAATATACCATTGAATAAATCAGTATAAAAAACGTATAAATTTTTTTTTTTTTTTAAAAAAAAAAAAAATACAATTAAAAAAAGACTCACCACCCAATCATTACGCTTCAAATTTTGAATTTGGGTCCATAAAAGCTCTAACGTCTTTTTTTTTTTTTAAAAAAAAAAAAAAAAGATAAAAGTTAACAAAAAATAAAGAAAATGATATATAGAACATATAATAATCAGACAATTCAATCAAACGCGTCCTAACTCATCCCTGAAATGAGCAAATGTTTGATTGGATTGACACTGGTATAATAAATTCACTAAAGTAGATCTGAAATAATTTGATAATGCTGAATGACAACAAGTCGTAACTAATACAAAAGGAAAAGGCTCTCACATCATGTTGTTCATATGGTACATTGGATCCAACATAAGGTTGGATAGATTTTCGAACGACAGATCCATCTATATCCAGTATAGTTCGTTCTCGAGTATAGAAATACCGTTCGGTTTTTGCCAACATGTTTTCTAGTACATCAGGGCACCTTTCTCGAAGTCTAGTTGCTACCTGAAATTATAATTAATTAATATCTTAACATAATAAATAATGCTTAAGATATGGATATAATTACATAAGGTAATGAAGCCAAAACAATATAAATAATTGTGTCTGCGCGAGATATCTTCAAATTTTGTTCATCGAGAACCGTTAATAAATCATCATAAATATCTAACATGGTTCTGGGTAATATAACATTTGCATTTGTCAACTCTCCAAAAAATTTGAGCTTGTCCCGATGATAATGAATAATGAATGGTTTATTAATGAATGAAAAATCACGTTTTAACATTAGAATTCCAAACAAATGAAAATCTTACAGATAATTTTGCACCACGCCAATTTCCTTCATTCAAACATTGTTGTAAAGTCTGTGCAGTCATTTTCACAACCTTGGCCCCAACTTCAGATCGCGTAACATTCACAAGACCAACAAGGGTACCATAAATATAAGCCTTCATTGGTAATTCCATGAAGCTGAATATAACAATTAACATAAAATAATTGACCATACATAAAATCGATCGAAATTAATATAAATACCAATTTTTTATTGTTTTCAGGACGTGACTCTCAAGTTTTGAATATTCATTATTTAATATACTGGCAACCTTTTCGATATTTGTTGTTATTTCTTTTGGTGTCATCTAATGAGGAAAAAAAGGTGCTAAAACCTTAATTAATTTAAAACGCGAAAAAAAAAATCAAACTTAAATCATATTCGACTTACACCAAATCGATGATGTTACCTTGTCACCCAAAATAATCAAAAGAGTTGTCAATCTTTTCTCGGGACTATCTTCTGCAGGCTGTTCCTGTACTTCAATATAACCGCTTCTTCCACGATCTCGATTCCTTTTATCCCGACCACTACCTCGACGATCATCGTCTAATGTAATTATATAGATTAGTTGTATATATTGATAAATTTGTAAATTTGATTACCAGAGAGAATGAATATTAGAATAACATGCCTCGATATCTTCTTTTACCACCGCCTAAGCAAAATTTGAAGTTATTAATATTCGAGTTTGTCCAATAAAAAAAAAAAAGGTAATAAGTTTGGTTAATATTTACTATCTCGTCGATTTCCTCGTTCATCCCGTGAGCGATCCATTTTTTTTTTTTTGAAAGACTTGTTTTTTGATGGCTATTTTATTCAAAAAATAGTGAAATGTAATAATTTAATCATCGCATGGATGCGATACATCGCCTCCTTTTGTCACCTGTGTCACGATGAAAAAATTTACTCTAATAAAATTATATTAAATTTTTTATATATAAAGTAATTAATTAGATCTAATAATCCAAATATATTCAATTAATATATATAGTTAATGAGATATTTGATAAATAACAGAATATATATTGATACTATTATTATTATATTTATTTATTTATTACCTTTATAATATTAAGTAAAATTAAAATATTGCCAATTTAGCCGCATATTTAATTTTCAATCTATTAGAAATTTAGTAATTACTTATTATTTTACTTAATTATTTTTTATATTATATAAATGTTTTATTCTTTAATAATATTAAAAACAAATTTACTTGTAAATTTACTAATTAATTTAAATATAGGAGGATTTTTAGGAAATTCAGATTCTAAGAAATTTTTAACTAAAATTAAGAGTTTAATACATTTTAATCTAATAATATCAACATAAAAATACAATAAAAATCTCAAATATGTTAAAAAATTCCTAGAACCTGATTTTTCTAGCAATCAACTCATATATTAAATTATTTTTTTTATAAAAACTCAAAATATTTTTTTATTTATTTATTTATTAATAATATTAAAAGATGCTACTTTTATTTGTACATAGGTGTTTTAAATCCAAATTATAAATAATAATAAAATAAAGTTATTACATAACTGCAAAAAATTTTTATAGATGTAAAAAATATTATGTAAATATATGTTATACCTCAGATAAATTCTTACCTCAAATTACAACGAATACATCTCAGATTATAATCATTAAGTGAGATACATAATTTGAATCAATAATTATCTGAGATACTGTAGCTATAATCTAAGACAATCTAGTCAATTATAGTAAATGCACATTTTTTAAATAAAATAAAGAAAAAAATATATTTAAAATTGAATATCATATTACAATTTTTAAAGCACATATTTTATAGAATATCATGTTATATATCTCATAATAGAATATACTTTTATTAGCAGAGATATTTTTAATAGAATAATTGAATATTATATAATAAACCTTTCAGTTTCTAAATAAGAAAAGGTTTTATTAATTTTGAACTTTTAGATAAAATTAAAAATGTGTTATTAAATCCAAAAAATCATACTATTTGCAATAAAAATACATAAAATTGGATTAAGAAAAAGTTTAAGCTTGAGAAAATAATGCTTAATGTTTATAGAATTATTATAAAAGTAAATAATAATCTAATATTAATAGTTAAAAATATATACGAAATTTTATATCAAACTTATGCTGAAGTTACATAATATGAAAGACAAAAATAAACTTGAAAATTAATTATAAAAAAATGAGGTTAAATAAAACAAAATATTGTAGAAAAATTTATTAATAATTGTATAATATATGTAATACAAAATTATCATTTAATCTCTTAGCTGTAAAACCTATTATTATAAGTGATTTTTTATCTTGTATTCAAGTAAATATTAATTTATTACATTTTTATAATAAGTATCATTTGTTCTTTTAAAATATTTAATTTTATATTATTTTTTAATTTTATTAATTTATTTATTTTTTTAGATTGATCTTATTAATTTATCATATGATGCTGATGAGAAGTTTAAATATATATGTTATATATAAGATTATTTTACAAGATTTTATGAACTAAGGTTTTCACTTCAAAAAGAGCAATTGAAGTTACTGCATATTTTTTTGATCTTTTTTTATTTTATAGGATCCTCTCCAACTATATTATAATCAAATAATAATAAGGAATTCTATGCAAAAGTAATTAAAAAATTAATTGAATTATAGCTATCAGTAAAAATTATAAATGGAGTTCTCAATATTTATAATCTTAAGTTTTAATTGAATACGCTAATAGAATTTTATAACAAAAATTAGAAAAGTGAAAAGAGAATATTGATTAAAATAATTGATCTTTTGATCTTAGATTATTATTTTGGCTATGTATAATTTATAATGTCAATCTCATAAAAAACTTCATATTGTCACTGAATTTATTTTCAATTATCTTAACGTCTAAGTTGAAAGATTATGGTAGTTAATTTTACATGTTAGAATTTCTAACTTTAGGATTTTTTCTAAATTTTATAGATATCTATTATATTTAAATCAATTCAACAATTTATTACGTCTTAGAATTTAAGATATGTTAATCAAACTTGTAATGATAAATTTAATAGCAAGTTAGTATAGAGTATTATAATAAATTCTAGATAAGAGACAACATTAAAGTGAAAAGTAAATTTGTATAGATTTAAATTATTCCTTTATTATAACTTGAAACTTGTAAGCAACTTACAAATAAATTAATTTACAACTTAAACAAAAAATTATTCTATTTATATAAAAATAAATTTGCTAAAGCTAACTACTTGCTATGCTATTAAACTAACTATTTTAGTAAACTTCAGCTATAAAATAATAATAAAAGATGATAAAATAAAGATATAAAATATAAAATAAATTATAATAATGATAAAAATAAAAGAAATAATAAAAATAATAAATATGTAAAGAATTTAATAAAATAAGCCAATCAGATAAATCAGGTGAATTTTATAAATCTTTCAAATTAAATAAATCAGCCTAATTTTCTAATGCAGTATGTCAATCAAGATCTTTTTTAATATGATCTATATGAAATTAAATCTAATAACTTTTGTAAATTATTTTTCTAAAATAAATTTTCAACGTTAACAATATGAACTTATTTATAGATCTAAATCACATAATAATTGTATATTAGTTGATAATTTATTTGAAAATAGTATTTGTGATGAAGAAAGTATTTCAGATACTATATAAATATTTAATAATTATATTAAAAATTTAGATAATAATATAATATTTGGACAAGGTTAGATTCTTTTATCATTTATTACTATTAAATAAAGTAAAAATATTTTAAATTAATAATTTTAATTTAATTTATTTTTTTTGGATTTTTTAGTATTATTAACACTATTAGCATTATCAGTACTAGTAATATTATCAGTACTATTAATACTGTTAACACTATCAGAATTGTTAACATCATTAATATTATTAGTATCATTAATATTGTTAGCACTATTAGCACTATTAATACTATCAATACTATTAATACTATTAGTACTATTAGCATAACTAGTATAGTTAATACCAATAGTATTATTAGTATTATTAGAACTATTGGTACAGTGGGGTATCAAAAGTCACCAGGTACTTAAAAATTAGAAAATCAATGGAAATTTTGACCTCAAATTAAATTTTTTTTTTATTAATTTAATCGACTTTGATTGAATAAGCAAAGTTGTTCGTTTTAATATTTTACATATATTTTAAAGTTTTTTTATAATATTTAATTAGAAATAAAAATATATATTATATATTTAATACAGAATTTTTGAATTTTAATACAAGATTTCAGTTATAATAAAACATTGAAATTATTAGTTATAATACATTTTTTTTTCTAAGTAAACTTGTTAAGCATATTAAATAATATATATTTGTCCAAAATTTCAGATTAATTGCATTTATATTCGTTGAGATCGTCTTGGTATAGTGAGTACTAATT